GGTTCTTCATTCAGATCGTACCTCGTATCTGTGTGTGTATGCGAAGACGAAAGTATCAAGAGGCGGCAAGTGTAGCGAACGCACAAGAATAGCAGGCATTGCAGTGGGAGAGAAAGCTACGAACAAGTAGCACCAGCACCAGCACCAGCACCAGCACCAGCATTGATAGCGCGACGTGCTACATGGCCAATGCCTCGATCGAAGAAGGCCGTTGCGCCCGCCGCCGCCGCCGCCGACGAGAGAGTCGACAAACTAAACCAAGGAAAGATGGAAGACGGAGGCGAGAGAACGAAAGCAGCTTCAGCAAAAAAAAAGGTTGACAAGGGCAGCGCGAAGAAGAAGAAGCAGAGGGAGTCGGCGAAAGCTGCCAAGAATATTGAAGCCATTGATGACGTCGATTTCGAACAAGACGGGGGATCGGCAGAGGCAGCAACGAGGAATACTAGGGATGTCCTGCGGGAAGAAGTCATGACGCAGGTACCCAGGGGATCTCGTTTGGTCAGAACCAACAACGTATTGCACTGTAAATCGACGTATTTTGGAGCTCCCTGTGTTCGTTGACAGGCGTTTCTTGTCCTCGACAGATACCTCGCCGTGGTACGGTAGTAACTGCTGTGCTGTGTGAGCGTGCAACATGGAAGACACGAAGGATGCATGCTTACCGAAGTCAGGCACACAAATGAATCTACCGCAGATGGTACAAGATACTACACCCCGAGTGTCAAAACCTGAATACCTCTCATGTACCCGAGGATGTATCTTCTGGTCCCAACCGAACTTCGAATACGACACTTTCAAACCTACACAATCCAAGTGGGATCCCCTCCCACACAGTGTGCAAGACAGGTCGCCGTGCACCCAGCTCTATGATGTTCGCGTTGTCGGTTATTACGTAGCATTTCTTACTATGTTCGAAATCGATAACAGTGTGCCCGCAGCGGATGAAATCTTTTCCACCCAAAATAACGTTGGTCCATACAGAGTCTAGTTATTCCAGGGCCACAAACCACACACCCCCATGGGTGTCCACATCGGAAGAGATTACAAGTACAGTATTCAAGGGTCGTATTGTATGTGGATAATAAATCGACGACAACCTGACGGTTGAAGACTCAGTTTAATTTGTCGTTCTCCTCTGACAAATGAAACGTTTGAACGTGATTCACTCTTGGTGAACAAGGTCTTTAACGAAACCACGCACTACTCGACTGGAGCCAAATTTGATTGCCCTGGGTTCGTGTTTTTCGCGGGTGTCGGGGTCAACTTTCAGGTACTCCAAGACTACCGCACTAAGCCCGTCGTTGAGGCTAATGTTCATCATCAACAGTTCGTCTGGCCACTGTACCGTCTTCGGAGGCTACTGTAGGTATTGGGTCGGGCTTCCCGTGTAGACGTAGAAAAAATCAGATGTGATCACGGTAACGCAGCCGATGCAGGAACGTTTGACCACATGCAAGCACTGTGCACAGTATGACACTGGTCGTTTCATGCAGTCTCGATCGGCTGCAACAACATACCCCCTCTGATGCGCCACAGAAGCCCTTGCTCTCAAATGAAAACCAATCCCTCGTTCAAGCAAGCGACACGGAATGCGGACTTCATGGAAAGCAGTCTCAAACAATTGCACCGTACACGGCGTCTCAACGGTCGCGCCACCTGCAGCTGATCTTCCTCTTCATTATTGCACGGCTTGGTGTGTAGGGGATGGGCGCACGTTGAACTTCACGACGCGGTCTTGGACGGGAACATCGACATCGTCAAGGCCACCCTATTGCGATATATCCGCAAGTGTCCTTCGAAAATCAACGACTATGACGTAAGTACAACACATTCGCCTACGACTGTATTCACTCTCCAGGTTGGGGTGTTGAACGTTGTTGCTTGTCACACTACAATTACCCGGCAAATACCTCGTGTGCGGTTCAGCGTTTGGCACCCTTTTCTCTGGCGCACCCCATACCATGTATATTTCCCATCCGGCTGCTTGCGTATGTTTCATACCTGCGCACGGCCGCGGCGGGCCGTTCGCCGGCATCAAATCTGTCAGCATTGTAGAGAGGTGGGGGAAAAGGTGTCAATCAGTCTTGGTCTAAGCCCCATACTCATTTGAAGGTGTGTGGGGAGGATGGAATGGCCTGTGTGGACCTTGCAGTGAACACTCACTTGACACCAGCCATAATCACATACATACTACACTCGGAGAAATCCAGAGATCAATAACACACGTTTCTAGCGATCCTTCTTTTCCTCTCGGTTCAAAAACAGAAAGAAGGAAGGACAGCACTCTCGCTCGCGCTCATGGAACAGCGAGAAGACATCGCGGATCTTATCATCTCCATCGACGACACCGACATCAACGCTCCGGACACGATCGTGAGCGCTGTATTATGGGGAATACACACCTCAGTGTAGTGTTTCTTTCCTTCATTTGTTTTTCATGTTGACGGCACGGGACAACGACTCCAAAATATCATCCAAATCTACGTTTTCTTGACGATGGAAGTCCGTCCATCGGTTACGGTTCTGGGAGGGGCACGAATAGTCCGTGTGTTCGAAACATCTACATATTTTGCTGGTGCCAGTCAAGACCGCCCTTGACGTCGTGGGTTGTTGATCACCTAGACTAGCTTTCACGCTGGGCGAACATGTCAACGAAAAATTTCGTACTCTTTCGGTCAGCTTTGCCTTGACAACCTTATCGAAGCTTTGATGGGGGACGATGACATCTAGTCTTCTTGTCGTCGAGCGAAACGCCGTGTAAAAGTCAAGCCTGATGAGCAATAGTGTTCAGACACAAAGGTGTCCCGATGTGGAGCACTGCAAAAAGCCACCTGCTGGTGTATACTCTTTTTGTGTAGGCTTTTACAATCGGAAGGACGCGTCAGGGGTTGTTGGGGAAACGACGAAAACGCTTCAACGCCACGTCTCGGGATCATATTTGAAGGCATCTCAGCATAAGCTCGATGGAGGTGACGCGGTCTAACCCCGAGTGTCCATTGCCTCCCGCCGCAATCGTTTCTCCGACGACGAACGCTCTCTCGTTCCGCGATGAATATGCCGCGCAGACAGGCTTGAGTCCGCTCCACAAAACCGTGCTCCTTGACTTGGGATCTTCGGCACAGAAGCTGGCGTTCAGAGGGGCCAACATAAACGCTACTGACAAGGTCAGAAGCATCCACGGCCTTGTAACCGCTAAAGCGTCATAGCAGCAAGCACAAGAGAGCGGAAGACAATATTACCGAGTCAATTAAGGTTGTTGACGGGCCTTTCCCACGTCTCTAAACGAGACTTCGACACTCGAATGCCTCTCGTTCCGTGTCGACGATACTGCTTGACACGGCCACACGACGCTAAACACGGCAGGTCGGGATGACTCCGCTGATGCTCGGGTGCCGATTGGGGCACGAGGCGATGGTGGACATGCTCGTGGACGTGTTCGGCGCTGAGATCGACCTAGCAGACAAGGCAAGGCATCATTCGAAGGGCTACGAACTCCAGCAGCCCCCATGGAGATAACTAAAACGCTTAAAGTCCACCTGCCCGCGCCATCGGTGGCTACAAGAAGCCGTTAAGTTTATTTTCTCCCCGTTTTCACCGATATGTTCGTCGGCAGGCCGGTTGGACCTGCCTTTTCTACGCCACATACCACAACGAGTCCAACATCGTGCACTACCTGCTGATGCACGGCGCGGACACGAACCATAAGGACAAGCGGGGCATGACGGCCATCGATTGGGGGGAGCACATGAGATTCGGAGAGACTTGCGCCATATTCTCCAGGTTCGAGTCGCAACTGGCGCCGTAGCGTGCGTGTGCCATGATGCCGCGTAGACCACCGGCGACGCAGGATTGGCAAGAGGGGCGGTGCCACGCCTTCTTTTTTTTTTGTAGGTGGTTGGCTTGGAAAATAGCGGGGGGAAACCGATACCCATGATGCCGCTTCTGGTTGTTGTGTGGGAGTACATTGATTTGCTTACGCGTGCAAGAAGTCTCCGGAACAGAGCGATAAATCCGTACCAATACAACATCGGATTTTGGTAGCGGAGTCCTAAATGATACTGTACACGTACATTAGTGACACCCCGAAAACAACGCCGATGCCCATGCTAAATGTTTTACACATTGCGGCGGTCGTAGCCCACGCACGAATTGAAATCCGAGGCCCCGGCAAAGTGACACAGGTTCCGAAGAGGCGGTGCACTCGGTGTCTTGTTGTTGTTGTTGTTGTTGTTGTTGTTGTTGATGGTTGTGATGGTGTTGGTGGTGTTGTAGTAGTGATGGTTGTGGTTGGTGGTGGTGTTGCTGATGTAGTCGATGCTACCACTGCCGTCGCTTGGTAGGCCATATGTAGCCTTTCGCTTGCATGCAGCCTCTGCAACGAGCGGTCACATTGGTCCAATGTCTGCTTCGTAGCTGTGGTCGATTGTTGGGAGCATTTTGGACTATTCGGGGGCAAGAGAATACCACATGCATCACCTACTCATGATTCGGCGAGATCTCTTCGGTCGTACTTTTTCTACCCCAATTGAAAACTTCGAAGTACCAAGTATAACACACCTTGGTTGTCAGCTGTTACCCCAGCAGCTACGGCGAAGAGGGTGGCTGCACGGCGTGTTTAGCTACTCCGACTCGGGCGCTGGTCGTCTCACAACGCGACTACGTTTCTGGGACGAGAGTGCTGCCCGTATACGACGTGCAGAGACCACCGAAGCTGGTGCAGTGCGCCACGAAACAGATGGAAAAAAAGTGGGATGTGCGCTCGAAAAAAGAAGTGATATTTTTCACCGAAGCCAGTGCCCTCAGACAATCCATTTAACCCCTACGAATATTCATCGGCAAGCCATCCCGCCACGTATATTCGTAATTATTTGACTAACAACATCGCGTTGGAAGCTGCGCCCCAGTACGACATACTTGAATTCGCGAGAGCCTGAGAAAAAAACCAATGATACACGTCTCAAAGCCAGCCTTCACCTTCCTACAAAGAAAGTTACAACGAAAAGGGTGTCACATAATACATACTAGGTAGACTAAAAGAAGATAATTTTGTAACAGGACTGGAGATAGGAAACAAGAGATACATCGAATGAAGGGGTGAAAACCATTGAAACAAGGAGACAAAAAAACAACAGCATATGGGGGTAGCACGAAGTTTCTAATCACCTAGTCGAAATGGTGCCTAACCACTGCACTGTGGAGATGTTCTACGTACCCGAAGTCTGCGAACACTGGATGAAAACTCTAAATGACGTCGTTAGTACGCGAGTCATGCAGACAGGGGGCGAGACGCGGGTAAACGCTCAACCCGAAACAGCGCACCCAGCGCCAACACTTTCAAGCAGCATCGACGTTGAGATTGCTTGTAGCCTAGCTCGGGTCGTGACCTTCGCGTGTATGCGCGTCGCCTGTGAAAACCTAAATAAAGAAACGCCCACCAAAACAATCGCGATCGTTGCCACGTCTTTTATTCATACAATAGGGTAGCTAACGCACCGTTGCACTACAGGATTTCACTAATGCTCAACGTTTTCCGAGTTCAACAGTTAGCACGAGAGAGGGTGGCTTCGGAACCCGCACCTTGAAGCAGCAACCGGTGTTCGCGAGCGACAAGAAAAATGTAACCGCCCCCTGCTACGTCGCAAGCATCGTTCTCCCTAACCCGCAATCCTCATACAACTAGACTATGCAGTAACGCTACATGCTGGAAGGGAAACGTTGGGGATTAGAGAGTCATCACCTAGAGAAAAAAAAGGACTCTCCCGGGACCCAAGTCGGATAACATATTTATATGTCGGGCTCTTACACACACGGAAAAAGGCAACCAGGGCGGGACTCAAACAAGAAAGCTTCCAAAAATACTGTGCAAAGATCTTAAATGTGAGCTGTCGACCGATCGCAACACAGAAACAATCTTTTTACCTTGCTCTGTGAATGTGTATCGCCATGGCCCCAACCGTTTTACGCACAGCATGTATGTCCACGTACTACTCTACACCGGGCGGCTTCTAATTTTTAAACACGTGCCGAGACCAGCCCATTGTTGGGCTCAAACGTAACACTCCTTTTCGTCAGATGGCAGCCGGATGCGTGCGGCATGCATCACGTCTTGCGGGGTCATATTTTCACACGTGGTCGCTGTCTTGGAAGCAAAACCGCCGTATCTCGGGGGCTGCGTTATGCGACAGCAGTTCACTTCTTGCCGCCGCGACCTTGCTTCTTGTGACCGCCACCGCCGCCGCCACCGCTACCACCACCGCCACCGCCACCGCCGCCCCCGCCTTGATTACCCCCGCCGTGCATGCCGCCACCGCCGCCGCCATGCTTACCGCCACCGCCGCCACCGCCGCCATGTTTAACGCCACCACCGCCGCCACCGTGCTTCCCGCCGCCATGCCCACCACCGCCATGCTTACCGCCGCCGCCGCCATGCTTGCCGCCGCCGGCGTGGGCGGCCGCGTTACCTTCAGCACTGCCCTGGCCACCTTCATGAGGCATGCGCCGACGCAGTTGCGAATGAGCTGTGTCTCCTCGACGAAGTCGCACGCATCGATGCTCGCCTGACGCCAAAAAAATAAAAAAAAAATAAAGCGTTTCAGGCGGGAGGGACAGAGATCAGCTTGGCGAACAAGTCGACCGCCGCTGCGTCATGGTGTGCGCCGGACGAGCTAGCTGACTACGAGGGACACAGACGGGGTTGCGAGGGGAGTACGGGTGAACGCTACATCATGTACAACTCGCCGCCGTTGTGGCATTTTTCCCTCCTTGCAAGGGAGTCTTGGTGGTATATTGGGTGTCCAGGCGGAAAACGTCAGGGCACGAACTGGCGTAATGCATCGCGTTCAACATCCATATCAACGAGAGTCTAGACTAGGGGATTGAAGGGCTTGCTTGCTGAGCTGCCACCGACCGACCACAACCCACACCATGAAAAATCCAGCACACCATAGCATGCGCTGAACCGCCGGCAGCGTCAAGAAGAGCACCGCAGTCACCACCGCTCCACAGCAAACGCAGGCGCAGCAAAGCCTCGTAGCGGCTCTTAACACCAGGCACACTATCACCTACTCCGATATACTCGTAGCATAGCATGCGGGTGGTATATTGCGTATACATATGCGGGTTTGCAGTAACGAACTACGGAGGAACAAGAAGTTTCTCTATGTTTTCCTTGGGAGTGTATTAGATTGGTGGAGATTCGTGACGATTCGTTTTGGGTGTTTGAGCGTTATGCTTGACTTGATGCCGTGATGGAATGACGAGCTCAAGCACGCCCCCGATCAATACAACACGTATACAACACGTTTCCCAACACGTTTTGCAACACGTCTACACGTCTTTACCTACCCCTACGGCCCGTCATGGCGGAGCTGCCCTACACTCCCATCACACACAACTGAGCCACCCGAATTATCGATCACGCTAGCGGAGGCACGTCGCCCAAAGTAGTCGGGTCAGACTTAGCTGGAGTATCACTGTGCGGTGAAAATGGATTGAGTTTAGGGAACAACGAGGCAGAAGAACAAGATAGCTCCCGCAGCGTCGATAAGAGCGCGCGGGTTGAAGCAGAAGAAGTCAACAGGAGTCCGGACGTCAGCTGCGAGGTGAAAGCAGGAGAGGGTTAGATACAAGTCATGCGAGAGAGCGAAGAGTACGAGGTAGGCCAGCAGCAGGGAGCGCGCCTATAATAACCATCGACCACGCCCGCGGACGACATCCCCCTGACCATCGCGCGAGCGCCCGAAGGGCGACTCAGCGCATTACAGCAGCACCACTTCTGCTACTAAATAGGGTCCCAGACCCGCTCAGGCACGTGATGAAATGATCATGTCGTCTGTCCGAAGATGAATGGCCTTGTTTTGTGTTCCGAAAGATTTTTAGGCTTGTGTCTGACTCCTTTCCTGTGTTCGGAATTCTGCGAAATGTGTGGTGTTGGGATGAAAGAGAGAGTACGGTTGTCACGAACGAGATAACTGAACGTGTGAGGGGTTATCAAGCCACCAACAGCACGTATGAGGGGATGTTATGCTTCCACGAGTATAGTTGCCAATCGTGCAACGCAAAGAGTATGAGGGGTTTTTATCCCACCAAAAGC